CTTTGGTAGCCATCGACTGGTAAAAGAAACTATATTCTTCCTGCCTACACATGTATTTAGGCAAATGAAATAACCTCCTTACCTACTCAAGTGTTGTCAATCCGACAATATACAATGCGACTTGGACCAAATGTCTAGACGCATTAGCTCAGTTGATGGTGGTATATCAGTGACCCCAAAGTCCTGAACTTGACAGCTATCCAGTCAAGTTAGTGTTACACAGGAATAGACTTCATTCCATAACCGGAAGTCCGTCCTGTCCTTAGCCAAGTAGCTGAAAAACACCATCAGGAGAGAGACAAGCTGCAACCCGCCACGTTTATTCAACAGAAGTACTTCTATGTTCACGTCCGACTGAGGAAGACCTGGTGGGAAGGACCATGAAGGGCTGCACATTACAAAACTCAGCGAGAATATTTGTTAGTAAGTGAAAGCTGGGGCAATGGGAAGAAATAGTGACAAGGACACTCCCTCTGTGTAACTGAACTTTCTAACCATTTCACACCCCCTCTTAGGCAGCATTTGGAGCTGCCTTTTTTTTTTAAAAATATATTTTATTGATTTTTACAGAGAGGAAGGGAGAGAGATAGAGAGTTAGAAACATCGATGAGAGAGAAACATCAACCAGCTGCCTCCTGCACATCTCCCACTGGGGATGTGCCAGGTACATGCCTTGACCGGAATCGAACCCGGGACCCTTCAGTCTGCAGGCCGACGCTCTATCCACTGAGCCAAACCAGTTTTGGCTGGAGCTGCCTCTTTGAACTCTCTTCCTTAGGCTTCTGTGGCAGTTAAAAAGTATTTCTACTCTTACTCCACTTCCTGTTCCTTTGCATTCTCTTCTCCTGGGCGGAATTTCCCAGGCTCTCTGTTCACTTTTAACAGTTTAGTGAACTAATCCTGTCATTGACTCAGATATAATCTACATCTGATTTATGCCTAAATGTATTGTTTTGATCCTTTTTTTTTTTTTACCAAAACTGCAGCTTTTTAAGACATGTTTATTTAACTATTATACAGTCACTTCAAATGTATCTCAGACCGAGTCATCGTCCCTCCAATACCAGGCCTTTTTCCGAGGTTTACATGGTACCCAACTTCTCTAGGTCAACAGGACTCTTTGTCGGGGGTTCTTACCCATTTCGACACCAAGGCCTTCTTTTATCCACCCAACCATGTCCCTAGGGTTCATCTTAAAAAATATATATTTTTACCAAAAGATGCATTTAAGTAACAGTTTTTCTATTCCTATTAAACAAAGGCATCTGGGTTGTGATTCTAAGCAAACTGTTATTACACTGAATTCCAGCCACAAGCAGAGATATGTGGTGTGTATTTAGTCTGTGCGGCCAGCGTATATAGAATATATAGGTCAAGTGGAGAGAAATGAAAGGCTCTGTTATTGTTTGAAGCAGCTTAACTAGTAAAAAATAATCAGACCTAACAAGTTTACTACTTATTGATCTCAGATGGGCACTGTATCTGCAGAACTTCTTTACAAAAACTTGCCGGCAAAGAGCCACAAAAGTGTATTGATGGTTCTTCATTCATAAGTCTCAGTGGTTTCCTCGTGTTGACAGATGGAGAAGTGTGTCCTCAGGGAGGCCTCTCTGAAGTTGGGCAGGGCTTGCTCCTGGTCTCATGTAACTACGATAGAACATTTCTGCAGATCTCTCGGCAGAAGATGAGGAGGGTGTAAAAGAAAATTGAGCCTCTAACCATATTTTCTTCTAAAATCTTCCGTAAGTCTTTTACAAGGAAATAGCTTTCCTGAATGAAACCTGCCATGAACTAAAGGGATGTATTGCTGTCAAAGGAGGCTATTCTAGATTCCAGGTGTCTGACATAAGTCCTGAAATATATGAACTTGAATAAAACGCTAGTTAATCATTTCGGAAACTAAGCCAGATCACCGTTCTGACATAATATTTACGGATAGCATTCAATCATTCACTTTTATTGCCTATTCTCTTAACAGTCTAGCGCTGAGAATCTTGCCAAATATGAGTATTTTGGTTCCAAAGATCTGCTCGGAAATGGTTCTTTTGCATGAAATATGCATTATCAAGGTCAGAGTTGGCATCCTATAAAATTCCTTGATTTAATTTGAAGTAGACAAAACACTGACATCAACCTTGGACCAGTAGCCCAACCGAAGCATGTTCAAATTGTTAAAGAGCTTAAATCCATTCCTCATCTTCATCTTCACTGAGCTTGCTCATACGGAAACCAAAATCCCCAGGGTAGTAAATGGGTTTCCCATGGCTGTGTGGAGTGTCATGGGGAGAGGGGTTCTGAGCTCAGATCAGTAGAAGTGAGGACTGTGATTAGCAAGGTCTGCCATGGGAGAGAGTACAGTGGGGCCTTGACTTACGAGTGTCCCGACTAATGAGTGTTTCGAGATACAAGCCGTCTCTCGGCGGATTTTTTGCTTTGAGTTGCGAGCTAAAATTCAGGTTACGAGCCAGTTTCAGATACCCCACCGCTAGTTGGTGCAGCAAACGTCACAGTGAACGCCACAACATCAGCCCAGCATCACGTGTCTCACTCGTTCACTTTTTGATTTGATTGAGTAATTTGAGTTATGAGCTCCGTCACGGAACGAATTAAACTCGTAAGTCAAGGCCCCACTGTAGTAGAAACAAGGGGTACTGATGGTCTGGAACCCAAGGCCATTTACCACAGAGAAAAGAACCCTCAGGTGAGCCATGGCATCTTAAGGCAAATGCTTGCAGAACAGTCATATGAACAAGGGTATCAACTTATTCAAAAGCAGCAAATTTGTAGCGGGAAGTGAAATCTCAAGCCCATAGAATAAAGAACTTTTAAATAATTAGAAAAGTCCAAAATGGAACATACTCTCTTGAGAGAGAGAGAATCACCCCCAAGACTTAGACGTGCCCTGGCAAGGGGGTATCGCTATCTTAGGACAGATCCCAGCAGGTGTGGGAAGTCAGAAAAAATGATTTCGTAGGGATCTTAGGACATGCCATCCAACCTCAAGCAAGAAAAACCATTATCTTCTAGAGCAGGGTTATTTGTACTGAGATAACAATGAAGAAAAACATCCTGCTGCTTGAGATAAATATGTTTTGCATTTCCGCTGAAATTTCATCCCAATCAGAGGCCATGTCCGTACCTTGGGATTGCCCACCGAAAGAGACTTTTAATTTGAAATAAAAAAACACACATTAAAATGGTGATGGATGGAGATTTGACTTGAGGTGGTGAACACACAATACAGCGTACGAAGGATGTGTTGTGGAATGGTGCACCTGAAACCTGTGTAATTTTGTTAACCTGCGTCACCCCAGTCCATCCCACAACAAAGATATAAATTAAAAACATTGAAGGTGGACATCATTTTATAAAATCTCAGCATCCACACAGGGATTCTCCTGTGCGGATGTGGGTAATTCTTGAACTAACAGGCCTGGCCAAAATGAAACTTATCAAAAGCCGGCCTGCCATCTATTTGAAACCAATTGGTTGCCCCGGAAGGTTAGGCGTGTGATCAGTTACTGTCCCATCAGCCATCAGCATCTTGGCCGCAGAGTGAAGGAGATGGGGAGAGAAATCACCCGCGACAGAGATGAAAGCTGGGTGGTTGGAAGAAAAAGGCCTCCTTGATTAAGCTGTGGACTTACTCGAGTCTTTAATTCTCCCTCCGGCCCGTCTCCACACTGGCACGTGGGCGGGCCGTGGATGGATGGGGATGCTCATCAGGAGGAGCACGCCCATCTATCTTGCGGGCGGATTTTTTTATTCGCCAGCTCCAGAGGAGCAGGGAGATTTATTTGGAAAGATGGTAATGAAGGCGGGAGGCACTGGCCAGACTGCAGCTTCCTTTACCCATGTGTTACTCTCACTTTCTCTCTCTTCTCGATGCTGAGTTGCTCTCTTTATTTCCGCTTATTTTTCTTAACATATTTCTATTGATTTCAGAGAGGAAGGAAGGAGAGAGAGATAGAAACATCAATGATGAGAGAGACTCATTGATCGGCTGCCTCCTGTATGCCCCACACTGGGGATTGATCCCACAACCTGAGCATGTGCCCTGACTGGGAGTCGAACCATGATCTTCTGGTTCATAGGTGGACACTCAACCACTGAGCCACACCGGCTGGGCTCCACTTATTTTTCTCTAAAAGGAGGGGTGTGTTTGGTCTCATTAGCCAGTGGCTGGAGAGAGGATGGTAGTGAGGATCTGGGAACACAGAATTTCCAGGTGTAATTTTTGCTGCAGTATTTCAAATGTTTTCATGACACTCTACATTTTCATTATACACAGGTGCATTTACTTAGACCCAATCGTATACTCCTTGAAATACTTGTTTCTTCATCCCAAAATGAGATCTCATGTTTCCTTTCTTGCTGTTTTGTTTTTGTTTTTTGTTTGTTTGTTGCTCTGCCTGGCAAGAATGAAATCATTCCCTTCTATGAAAAAAAACTAACTTTCTGTCTTCATAACAATGGTGCAAGGAGATGGGTTAGCTCTGCTGGGCCTTATAAAATACAGTAAAAGCGACCACCATCACCACCCCAATCCGAGCCACAGGATGGAATTATTCGCTAAAAGGCTGGAGTGGGTATATTCTTGGTTTCCTGTCAAAGGCGTGGCCTCTGGACTGTGACCAACCACCGCCAGGGGCGTCATTCGGATGCAACAACCAATCCCCTGAGCTGAACACTCACTGGACCTGAGTCCAACATCCCGGCTGATGTGGCTCAGTGGATAGAGCGTTGGCCTGCAGACTAAAGGGTTCGGGGTTCAATTCCGGTTAAGGGTTGTGGGCTGGATCCCCAGTAGGGGGTGTGCAGGAGGCAGCCGATCAATGATTCTCCACTAAGATGATGGGGTCATAATATGGCCTCGTCGGGGGACTGTTTTGATGGCACTTTTGGTCACCAGGGGCTGTGGTTGTGACAGATATTCTCAGAAGTAAAAAATCCAACTATTCACACACTGTATGAAATTAGTCATCTGTAAAATACTAGAGTTTATTGAATCTTAAGAAGTATGGTTTATGTTGTGGTTTCTGTAGGATCCTCATGTGCATTTTCCTTTAAGAACTGGAGAGTTTTTGAATGAATAGAGGGTTCCCATTTCTTCTTTGAACAGATGAAAGAGAGAGAGAGAGAGATAGGGAGGGAGGGAGGGAGGAAGGGAGGAAGAGAGACAGAGAGACAGAGACTTCAAAGGCTGACACACTGTGTCCAGGTGACTCAGCCAGGCAGTGGCGTCTTCTACTCCACAACCACGTCACACCTGAACCTCATTTTACACTTTGTCTTCTTTTATTGTCTAAAAACAAAACAGTAAAGTGAGAGAAGACATTTTCTAAAAACAAAACACTGAGATGAAAAAAAAAGGGAAAGAAGCCAATAACAACACACAGTTCTCAAATTCTCTGCTCAAATCCTCCTCACTCAGAGTTCGCTCAGCAGGTCTGGGGGCCGCACCCTGAGCTGCCCCATTGCTAGCCTTGCTGCAGCCACCCTGACCCCTGACCTCTGTCTGCACCTGCAGATCCTGATCAACAAAGGTGAGCGAGCGCAGACACACAAGGCGCTGGGCCAACCTGCCCAGACCCTAGGGCAGTGATGGCGAACCTATGACACGCGTGTCAGAGGTGACACGCAAACTCATTTTTTTGGTTGATTTTTCTTTGTTAAATGGCATTTAAATATATAAAATAAATATCAAAAATATAAGTCTTTGTTTTACTATGGTTGCAAATATCAAAAAATTTCTATGTGTGACACGGCACCAGAGTTCGGTTAGGGTTTTTCAAAATGCTGACACGCCGAGCTCAAAAGGTTCGCCATCACTGTCCTAGAGAAACACGGCGACTGTCCTCCTGCACGCCTGGGGGCCGTTACAGCGCCTTCATTCAGAGAACACCCTTACCAAGAGGAAGATACTAATGGTATCTTGAGCCCTAGCTGGTTTGGCTCAGTGGATAAAGTGTCGACCTGTGGACTGAAGGGTCCCAGGTTCAATTCCGCTCAAGGGCACATGCTTGGGTTGTGGGCTCGATCCCCAGTGTGGGGCGTGCAGGAGGCAGCCGATCAATGATTCTCTCTCATCATGGGTGTTTCTATCTCTCTCTCTCCCTCTCCCTTCCTCTCTAAAATCAATAAAAATATGTTAAAAAATATATCTTGATTTTTGTTTTGTTTTATTTTTGCACATTCACTCTGATGAAACGGAAAAGGGTTATACATCCACACGGCGCCAGATTGGATGCCAAGGTTGAACAGGTTTTCTTTTTTTGTTTTGTTTAATTTTATTCACATCTTGTTGCCATTAAAGGTTAATTCAAAAAACATTTTTGCTATTCTAACATCCTTTGCCTCTCATCATCTCTTACAAATAAATCCCCACCACAGAGCAGAAATATTAGGAGTTATATTGCAAATGGAGCACATTAAGCAATTTTTAAACCTTTGAAATATGGCTTACGAACAATTTTACACAGCAAGAACAGGTTTTCTTGTTGAATTAGAAACTGAACCCCTGACGAGCACATATATCGCTTATCTCTCTCCTTACACAGCCGCTAAGACCGTATTTCCTCTTAAAAAAAAAAAAAAAAGACAAATGTCACCCCTGTGCCAATGCAGGTGCTAACCAGACTCATTTCCCTTTTCCTTTCCCTTTTCCCAGCCATTCCAGTCATTCAGATGCCAAATCCCTATGAGCAAGGAAGACAGGACACTGGTTTCCATGCACAACAGGTAATTTCATCGAAACTCATCTCCTCGGGCCTCCAGACGGAACCACTCCTTTCAGCGAAAGAGGACCCGGACCGAAGCACATGGCGAAGAACCTGGGACAGGTGAGACGCACACAACCTGAGAAGACTCGGCGCACACCGCGCTCGGCCCACTGGCCACGCCCCCCTGCAGGCCCCCCTTTCCCCCCACCGACTGTCTCCACTCGGCCCAGAAGATGAATGGAGCTAAAGAAGGCAAAGCAGTCGGATGGACGGAAGGAGCCAGTCCTTTCTGATTCAGACCCGGCGGAATGCTGGGGAACTCTCCACCATTACCAAACCGAGCAGTTTATAAAGAAAAATTAAAAAAAAAAAATTAAAAGGAGTCAGATGATCCTAGCCAGAGAGTAGATTTTAAAATATACGGCGTCCCCCCAAAAATGTGTACATGCTATGACTGTAGATTCTATTACATTTTGAAAATGAAAAGTATTTTAAAAAGCACTGCCTTTATCATTATTCAAAGTGTGCATACATTTTTTGGGGGAAAGCCCTCTATGTGTGTGTTTAAAATCCAATTCATTCTGAGCAGTTTCGGTGGCTGAAATCTTCGTGGATTAATTGAAGTGGGTTGGTGGAGGCTCTGTTTGTCCTAAACGCAGACACGCTGAAGGGAAGAGAGATTAATCTGATAAAGGCGTCACTGTTTCTAATCGGACTGATGGGCAAGCGCAGGATGGGTGGGAGAGGCAACGTTGGGTGAGATATCGTCAAGTGATGAACTACCTTGAAGCCAAAGCAATCAAGTAGAGAGCGCTAAAAATTCCTCCGGCATCTTTGGGGCAAGTGTCCCCATCTTGGCCTTCTCTACGCAGAGCAGAAGCACTTTGTCAGATTTGGTGAAATGCAATCGTAAGGGGAGAGCTGTAGCTGGGGCAGCTCCCCTCCACTTACCAAAATTAAACACGAGACATTCATTTCCATTCTGAGAGGAGGGGGTGACATTTTGATAATACTTCCAATTCACAGAATAGTTGAAAATCCAAGAGCAGACTTACCAAGCATTTTTTTTAAAAAAATTGTCACATATTTGTATTTGCTCGTTGTAATTAAAAGTAATGTGAAACATTTGTTACTCGTCCTTCTTTCTTATAAATAATGTAGCAAGTAGTTATTTTGTCTTCAGAAAAAAAAAGATAATTTTCTCTACATTATCATGATTGAATAGAATAAAGTCAAGCTGTTTTTGTAATTGGTAGGGAAGAGCAAGGAATTCCTACTGGAGTATTTTGTCTTAACACGTTGCTTTTGTCTGATTAGATACATTTTCAAAAAATTAGGGTACAAAGACACATCTCCCCAAAACGGTATCTACAATCTTAGATACCAATCTTACCCAGAGATAACTACCATTAACATTTTTGCAATGTACAAATGTATACAAATATATGCAACACAGAAGTACTTGCAAGTGTGTTTTTCATGAAAGCGTAAGAACATTTTTTTAAAGGAATAGCTAACTAAAATGAAGGGCAATTTTCTGCTTATTTTAATGGCTTCACAAGTGCAAATATTAAGGCTCCCCCCCCCCAAATTATCAGGTAAGGATCTATGTCTCATCATTTATTTAACTTAGCATATATTATCCAGTATTCAATTTGTTTTCAACCTTTCACCCCTACAAACAGAATATACCTTTGAATTAAAAGCTAAGTCACACACAGATAGGAAAGATTTTACTTAGACTGCTTTATACTGTGAGTTAGAAATGCCAGACAAATGTTCTAATGGGTAGTGATACTTTATAAACCTTTGGAACCGCAATTCCACGGGGCATTATAGATGAACTAGAGGCCTGGTGCATGAAATTCATGCAGGGGGGAGGGGAGGGGATCCCCCAGCCCGGCCTGCACCCTCTCCAATCCAGGACCCCTTGGGGGATGTCCGACTGCCAGTTTAGGCCCAATCCCACAGGGACTGTTAAACCGGCAGTTAGACATCCCTCTCGCAATCCGGGACCGCTGGCTCCTAACCACTCACCTGCCTGCTGGCCTGATCATCCCTAACTGCCTCTGCCTCGGCCCTGCCACCATGGCTTTGTCCGGAGGGACGTCCAGAAGGATGTCTGAAAGACGCCTGGTATAATTAGCATATTACCCTTTTATTAGTATAGATTAGTTAGATATGTCTTATTTCCCTTCGAGTTTTCCCTTTGAAGTCGTTAAAAAGCAGGTAGTGGTATTTGTGTTGAACCCACTGACTTCCACATTGAAGCATCCTGAGTTACAAGGGGGGACAGGCCACACTGATGCTGAAGGAAATAAGTTGCTCGATCTACTCTGCCTTCCCCAGCGGACCAGAGCTCTCCCGTGGCCCTGGGGGTGGGAGGGCACCTGGGGAATTCCAACTCGCATGATTTCTCATTCCTGCCTCTTCTCCTTCAGCTGTGGTGATCTGTGCTGTCTTCATCCAATACCTCCTTTAATTGGGCTGAAAATGCCAGATTACTTCCTATAAGTCTCGCTCTGATTGTAATCATGCCTCTACTTTTAAACACCTTAGCCAGTGAATACAGTCCACACTGAGAGCTATTTCTGTGATCTTGAATTTTATGTAGGTCTTTGTTCTTCTCTGTACTTTAACAGGGATAATCAGAGACCCCAGACACTATTTACTTGGAATTCCATAAAGACACCTAGTAGCTCAAATAGCACACATATTGAATATAGTCTATTAAACTAACTGTATCAACACAGTATTGAGAAATTTAAAACAATTTTTGGAACACCATCAATGTTTTATCACTGGATAGTGTAAAACTATTATTTATTGTATTCATTAACATAAAGTAAAAGTACTTCTGATTTTTGTGAGTTCTATTTCTTAATGTGTTTTTTAGTCTATTTTGGAGATTTGAAAAACGAAACCAATGATTTTTTTAATGTTGAAAACCCATTATTACACTAGAATTAAAATGTGTCTGGCTTTGTTATGCATTAATATTATTATAGCATGGCTTTTTAAATGCTTGATGGTTAAGTTACTTAAAATACTTAGCAAAAAAAAAATGCATACCTTTATAAAATCTGTCCAGCTTTTGAATATGACTTTCCGTACTTAGAGAAGAGATCGAATGATGGTAATATAGTTTGGAAATCCTAGAATAAAAAAAGAGCAAAGATTACCACAGAGCCCTTACTGACTTATTATTATTATTATTGGTTTTAAATATAAATAACAACGACTAATTTTCAAAAAAGGAAAGGAAATGATTAGCTTTATTTAAATGACCTTAGTTTAATCTTTTTTATATTTATTAATTATATTTAGTGTTTATTTTAATATAATACTTTTCATATGTAAAATAACTCATTTTTAAAATGTACATTTTATGGAGACAGACAACAGTATGGTAATTGCCAGAGGAAAGGGTTTGGGGGAGGTAAAATAAGGTAAAGGGGGAATAAATGGTGATGGAAGGAGACTTGACGTAGGGTGGTGAACACAATACAATATACAGATGATGTATTACAGAATTATATACCTGAAACCTGCATAATTTTATGAACCAATGTCACCCCAATAAATGCAATAAAAATATGATGAAATAAATGTACATTTCAACTGTTATTTTTTACATTTCCTTTGGATAAAAATATGTTCTAACTGTATAGGCTTTAAAAGCATCGAATGCATCTAGTAGAAAAGAAGAAAGACCTAACGTCAAGAATCTAAACTTCCACTTTAGGAAACTAGAAAACAGTGAGCAGCAGAAGAAAGACATAACCAAATCAGAGCAAAAACCATGAAACTGAAACAGAGACGAGCGAAAGTCAACAAAACCAAAAGCTGGTTCTTTGAAAAGATCAATAAAATCGGTAAACACCTGGCCAGGCTAAGTGAGAAAAAAGAGAAAAGTCACAAATTAGTAACAGTTACTAAGAGAGATGGGTGGTCACTACTGGTGCCATGCACTTCAATTCAAAGGATAAGTGAAGAAGTGTGAGCAACGGTGGACCACACATTGGATAACTCAGGTGACCTGGACCAATCACTTAAAAGACAGCCCACCAAAACTCACACACAAGGAGAAACACATAATCTGAATAGGCCCGTATCTACTGAAAAAAATCAAATCAGTAATAACCTTCCCAGACAGGCTTTGATTCTTTCTGGTGAATTCTACCAAACAAGGAAGAGATGATACTGTTCCAGAAAACGGAAGCTTCTGGAAGCACTGCCTAACTCCCTCTGTTTCGTCACCTAGAAAATGGAGATGTCCACCCCGGCCAGTGTCGCTTAGTGGTTAGAGCATCGGCCTGCTCACTGAAGGGTCGCTGGTTCGATTCCTGGTCATGGTCACATACCTGAGTTGCAGAGTCAATCCCTGGCCCAGGTCAGGGTGTGTGGGGGAGGCAACCAATCCATGTCTGTCTGTCTCTCTCTTTCTCTCTCTCTCCCTCCTCCCTCATTTCCGCTCTAAAAAAACCAAAAGCCTCAGGTGAAGATTAGCAACAACAAAAAAGTAATTAGCTGGAAAAAAATTCATGTGAGAACGAATGCATTGCCTGGGGAAGTGGCAGCGGGGGGGATTTTTCTTTCCAAGACAATGACTAACTTTTGTCAAGGTTGGGTGATCCCGTGAGAAAGTGATCCCCCTCCCAGAGAAGCAAGGAGGGACTCCTAGCACATCTTCCCTCCACTTTTCTTGACATTGTCTACATCTGAGATTTGGGGGATGGGATTTATGATGACTTCTTGGTGAGCTGGAGGGGAGGCCCTGGCATACCATGTCTTGTTCATTTTCTAATTACCTCCTGAAGAAGCAAACACTGTGAAGCAATACACCGGGTCATTTAAAAGGCATAGGGGGCCCGGCCAGTGTGGCTCAGTTGGTTGAGCATTGTTTCGTGCACCAGGAGGTCACTGGTTCGATTCCTGGTCAGGGCACATGCCTGGGTTTCGAGTTTGATCCCAGTGGGAGGAGTGCAGAAGGCAGCCTATCGGTGTTTCTCTATCATCAATGTTTCTCTCTCCCTCTTCCTTCATCTCTCTCTGAAGTCAGTAAGAAATTTTTTTTTTTTTTTGGAATAGCTAACTGAAATGAAGGGCAATTTTCTACTTACTTTAATGGCTTTAAAAGTGCAAATCTTACCCTGGGAATCAACTAGTCATTAAACATTAAAATAAACAGTCATATCGCCTTGCCTTCATAAAAGTCAGTGTGTTTCCTTCTGTAGTCTATCATTTTCATCAAACATTGTTTTCTACTTGTTGGTTTATTCTTTCACTGTGAAAACATGTATGATAATGTTTGGTATAAAAATCAAGAAATTAGTCTCACGGCGGGGAGTCTGCTAACAACACCGTTTTAATCTTATCCTTCAAGCAGAGGCAGAAAACATATTAATTGCAGCTTAATTTATGCAACAAATATTTCATTTTAATTATGCTTAATTTTTGTCAAGCTATAAAAATGTCAATAGTTTTGACACAGTGTTTGCCTACAAGTTTTTTTTTTAAAGTGAAAGAATTAAAATCAAACGCTGTTTCTGAAAGAAACTATGAAAGATTTCTAATTACTGCTGATGTTTTTGAAAAAAAAATTGCTACTCTAGTGGCCCCCAAATAACATCTGGGAATGTGTGAACTTGAAGCTTTATTACCCGATATTTGTAATTCCTAGTAATATACATGCATCATTAACAGGATGAAATTCTCACGGGAAAGGACTGTTTAATTTTTTAATTTTTTAATTCATAGGATTTATCAGTGACTGTCATTGACTGGTGCCTTTTCGCTACAGAAAGGTTTTTGTTAATTCCTCTCAGGGAAACTAAGACAGGAATAAGTGAAACTGACTACTGCTGATACATTGCATTGAACAAAAGAACATTTACCATGAACAGAAGGGGAAAGAAAAATGTCCAGCCACCGAGGCTGAGCGGCATGAATTATATTCAGCAAAACATTAGCAAGCCCCTGCCCCGGCCAGGGCGGCTCAGTCGGTTGGGCGTCATGCCACGCACCCGAGAGGTTGCTGGTTTGATTCCGTAGGGTCAGGGTGCATGTGGGAGGCAACCGATCAATGGACATTTCACTCTCACATGGATGTTTCTCCCCATCTCCCTCTCCCTACCTCTCTTTCTAAAAGTCAATTACAAAATCTTTTTAACAGTTATTAAGCTCTTACGAGGTGCAAATCCTCCCCAAACACTGTCACACATATAAAGGCTACCTCCTGCCGGAAAGCCTTCGTCTTCAGATGGAAATGCCAGCTCCCTGCACTGAGCATCGGTGCACAATCACGCTCCTCCCAGCCCTGGTCCGGCGTCTGTTTTGCATCAGTGACTCCCTCCCAGTATGAGCCCCCCTCACTCCATGGTCAGCCTCCTGGGGGCAGGATCCTGGCCTTCTGTGTTACATCCACCCCTCCCACATTCACATATACGTGAGAATATACGTGAATAAAATGTTCTGGGTGTTCTGTTTTTGGAAACATCACTCTTATTTCAAAACCTTCTTTTGTGAAAGATGTATACACCCATATTTTAAAATCATTCGTTGGGAAAGCTTCTAGTTTTAAGCTGGCAGAGCAATTAATTTCCTGCCTTATCCTCAGAAATGACCCCCTCCCCCCGGCCCCGAACTTGGAGGATTATAAACATCTACAAAACGGCATCTTCAGGAATACCAGGAAACAGCAGGGGCCCCAAATCATAATCTATGTGCCGCCAGATGAGAGGGGCAGCATCCCAGACTTAAAAAGGAAGGGAGAACATGCTCTAGCTGGTGTGGCTCAGTGGACAGAGCATTGGCCTGCAGACCAAAGGGTCCCAGGTTCGATTCGGGTCAAGGGCACATACCTCGGTTACAGGCTCCTTCCTGTCCAGGGCCCTGGTCGGGGCTTGTGCAGGAGGCAACCAATCGATGTGTTTCTTTCACATCAATGTTTCTCTCTTGTCTTTCCCTCTCTCTTCCACTCTCCCTAAAAAAAAAAAAGGAAGGGAGAACAAACCAATGAAATTCCATCCTGTTCTTCCTCCCTAAGCCCAGGACGCTCAGCACTGGGATCGAACTGGAAGGTCAGAGTTGAAAGTGGCCTCTGGGAAGGAGGACCTACCCTGAAAATTGGGGCAAGGGTGGGGGTGGGGGTGCGCGCAGGAGTATGCCACCCAGCATCACAAGTCTCTGAACATACTTACTACTTCAACTAGGCACATGTTTTACTTGGTAAAAATAGAGTAAAAAAGAAAGAATTAGTGCACCAAAAATTACCCTTAGATTTAAGTTTTCTTTCTACTAGGACACTTTAATTAACTGCATCCCTCTTAGTAATTGATGCCCTATTTTTTATAGTTTTTATAAAATACGCAAACATATACTTGCTCATTTTTTAAAACATTTTGCTTCCATTTCTTACATTTGACATCTTTAACAACGCTTCCCATAAGCAAGTCTACATAATAAAACATATAAAAATGCAAATGAGATAGTCAACAGAAACTAATGTATTTTATAATGCCAACTCCTTTATAAGTTTTGAGAAAATTATATACACATTCACTAGTCGATGTACAATATTTAATGTCTCTATCTGAGCCCAAATTACTAAAGACGATGATCTATTTTTCTGAACTCATGTCCTTTTCCCAAACTAAATCAAATGAAGAAAGCGATGGGAATTTCCTCACAAGCTATTTCATACATGGATGCCCCTGAACTTTACTGAGTCTAAACTCCAAAACATGTGCAGGTAAATCACTTTGGTATTCAAAACACTAAGGGATGTTTATTTGCTGTTGCCATTAAGAGCACAATTTATTGCGGAACATTTAAATCTAAGTCCTAATTTATTTAAACTCTATAAATGAAAGGCTGTTAAATTCGAGGACACTGACATTTGATAGATAAGAATTTCATCTCAATTTTTAATACGTTCTTTCATTATTATTTTTGAACAATATAAAATTTTTGCAAGATTAAGAGGACAGAAAAATAGAATAATTTAAATGATTATGGCCTTCTGAAATTCTATGTTTGGCATGGTCACACAGTAGAGGAGAAAAGAACTCTTGAATAAAGTTCAATTCAACTGTGTATGTATTTTTAATTATACCTCCTTTGTTCTACAGACAAGAATTTATAAGGAACAAAG